GCTCCTATTGTGGGTAGCGGTTATAAAGAGAAAAGGGCTGAACTGAAGCTTGAGATTCAATCAGCTAATTGTTAATCTTTTTTCTTCATGGCATAATCTTTAAGGAGGGTGTTCCAATATGTTGTTCCCACACAATTTTGTGGGAAGTTATCTTTGGAGCACAGCTCCTAACAATCATGCAAAGTCCTTTTGTCCTTTGACGGTGGACAGTATGGCATTGGAAAGAGCTGGGAATAAACTCACATAGCAACACCCGACAGTTTTTTTAGAGCATCTTCTAAGAGCAAGGCCATGACAAACAGTTACAGGTGTAATCTTATGAAGGCTTTGCTTACCGGAGATGTGTAATTGATGACAGACATTTGAAAACCAGATAGGTGGGTTCCCCCAATCCCTAGCACCATAATCATTAGCAATAGCTTCCGGTACTGAACCTGCCAAAGGTGACGAAACACATTGTAAGTTCCTGGTACCTCTGGCTTTAGACCCAGGAGATAACTGATGACATGTTCTGTCTTCACATTTTTATGATATACTGCAAAATGCAAACACCCATTTTGAATTTTTCAGTAATGCTGCTTGTCAGTGAGTAGGGCTAGAAGACAAGAAGTTAGATACTTACCAGGTCTGAGAGGAAACCAGCCATTTGCCCTTGAAAACCTGCCTGCTTTGAGAGCCCTTGTCAGGTCTGTCAGATGAGAGGTGTGTTTTCTATGAGTAGATTCTAAGAAATAGGGATCCTAGCACAGAAGTTAAATTCTAACCATGTGGCTTTTAGTGAATTGTGTCCTCCTCCAGCAGTGACCAGGGCCCCTTTTTGCTGGTTTAATTATTCCAAGACCCAGATATGCCAGGCTGATTACGACATTGGTAAATGTTTATCCTTCTGCTGTTGGGAGTGTTCCCCCTCATCTGTACTGCCAAAGCAATTTCATGTTCCTGTGAGGAGTCATATGGTGTTTCCATCTTTCTTTCAGGACAGCAGAATCTCTTCACCTCTCTGACATGCAGCTTACGCTGTATGTTTTTCCTTCTCTCAAGTATACCACAGAGATAAGGCACTTAGTATTTTGAGTATTATTAGTATTAGCTGAGCTGTAAGGCCTCTTCTCACATGCTGTAAGATTTTCAATTGCTTGAAGTGATCTGAATGGTTTTCCAGGTGCAGGACATGAGTCTCTGAATACTGGCATATTGGGTCCTTGGGAACTCTCAGTTCTTTATACAGGGTCGTGCTGTTTCCAGAACTACTCAGAAGCCTCACTCTTGCCTCTGTAAGAATGGACGTGGCTACTGTGTGCCCAAGTAGGATGCTCATTCTGGTCTGGCTTGAGAACTGATTTTTTTAAGTACTTTTCTCCTTAAGAAAAATTATTTTAATCAGCTAAAGACTTGACTATTTACAGAGAGTGTAAGTTACTTCTGGGTTCCTTCAGGCTTCTATGTGTTACATGTAAGATTTTGTACTACACCGAATACAATGTAGTTCACTCTACACTACAGAGATTTAACTGTCTGTGATTAGTGCTGAAAGGGGCAGTGGGAAGGTGGGGCTATGGTTCTGAAAGCAAGATAAGCTTTGCTTAGGAGCATAGTGGAAGCGCTGACATTCCTCCTACAGTTTGCTTGTCACATTACAGTGACTGACAGCCCCACGCTGTTCCCTGGGCCATGTGCCCTGCAGCACAGGGCAAGCTTGCTGAGTCATACCTTGACCTTTCTCCTGCTGCATGTCCCAGTAGTGGTCTCTCCAAACCCTCTGCCTGGGTGTCTCACTGCACATCAGTACAGTGAAATAATTCAAGTGGAATTCATCTTTTCACCCATTCCATTTTCATCATTCCTGAAATCTTCATTACCACCACATCAGGTGTGGTCATGTATTTCATTCCTTTGCGTCTCAGCACAGACTTCTCAAATGCTATCTCTTCCTCTTCTAAAACACCCCAGAATCTATCTTTCTCTTTAATTACTACTGCAAAAATCCCTGTCTTTATTTAGTTTTTTTCTTGCTTCTTACAAATTCCTCCTCTCAGTTTCCAGTCACTTCAACACTGGCCACTGTGTCCAGCAGGGTATCCCAAAGCTGTCAGTTGCAAATAATAGTGTTAGGCAAAAGCATATGAGCAGAGCAAGGGTGTAGTGATGCTTCCCCTGTGTGTTTTTCAGGCCCCAGTGATGAGCAACACAGGGACATTGTTGGTCAGGATGGTGTCTTTGTATTTGCTCCTTACACCCATTTACTGCTATCTTCTTTGAACTCTTGTAAACTTTTGTTGTTCCCAACTCCTGGGTAGAAAGGTGAAATGAGATACTTGAAAATCCAGTGTTACTTTTTACTTTCTGTCAGGACACACTAAAAGCTACTTTTGAAATAATTAACCCTCTCTTTTGCCATTTCTCTCTTTTTATCTTTCCTTTTAACTTTTTGTTTCCTGTGTCAGATTTGAATGTCAGATCTCTGTTTCCGGATTTTTTCATGCTGCATTGTCTCATGCAAGTCTGTTTTTATTTTTCTTTTCCCTTTCAGAGGGGTTCTGCCAATCTAACAGCAAATCACTTTGCTATGTTCAGACAGCAGGGTTCAAGCACCTTAGAGTGGGGTCATGAGCAGGGAGCCTGAATGAGCTAGAGAGGAAAGGAGGATTTGTTCTGTGAGCTGAGAATGGGAAGCGTGGCTGCTGGAAAGAAGGACACACATGGCAACTCTTGTTCTTTCTGAAGGAGTTTTGAAACACTCTGTCTGTGTCCAGATTTTAATATCTGGTTGGTCAAACAGTCCCTGCAGTTCCTCCTGTCTGTATTTCTCCCAGAATGTTCACACTGCTGTCTCATTTTTGTCTGGCTTCACCCTTTTATTCAGGGCTGTAATATGGAGAAAACAAGACTTAAGTGCATCATATAGTTCTTAATTTTCCTACAGAAGAGGACAGAAAAGTCTTTCCACCTAGGATTTGAACACTACAAGAAATGTACTTACTCCAGACCCAGTGGGTAACTCACCCAATAGCTTGGAGGGATTTTGGTTTCAAAGGTGTCATGCATTGCATTTGTGTGATCCTGGAAATCAAACAGATATGCTGCAGATTCACAAGTACCTCTCTAAACCTTTATTCCCAATCCATGCTAGCTGATGGCAGTGTTAATGATACACTGCACTTTCTCACTTCTGACCCCTTTAGTGTCTTGTAAGACACTAAAAACTTCCTCACTGGCAACCAATATAGTTGAGAAAGACCAGAGCAAATAAAGACTTTAGAAAAATCAAGGTCTTACCTATCCTTTCCTTCTCTGTCTCCTTTTTTTTTTTTTTTCCTTCTTTCCCCCACGGAATGTGAGTCAGCTCTGCTGTGGTATTGCAGAATCCGTGTTCTCTGGCCTTGAAACTATAAACTGTGTCTAGCTTTCTTTTGTAATACGATAATTGTCATAGGAAGGATGACTGTGTTGGGGATGTCTACTTCTCTTGACATTACCTCTTGGCACTGCTACCATATTGATGTGAAGATAAGTTTTATCTGCACAGACTTAGGGCTGTGAAAGAAACTACCACTCAATACTCAGGTCCTTTTGCAAATTTTATTGTGCAGCATCTGCAACAGTCAGTAGTGAAGATCTCATTTCCAGAACAGGACAGACACAGTATTCCTTGATCCCAACAACACAGTCCCAGAAGATGGGCTCTCTTCTGAGTCCCTGACTCTTCAATCAATGAAAACCAAATCCAGGCATGATCAGTAGGATGTGTTTTCTTACCCACTGCTTTTTTATTTCCTTATCAGTAAACTGTAAAGCATGAAGAGCAAGAATGTGTCACCTCCTACAGCAATGAATACAAAAAGTGAAGCCCTTGTTACGATGTTTTGTCATTAAAATGTGGAGTATTCAGAGGCCTGGAGAGAGAAGCAAACACTCAGACATACAGACTGGATTCTCCTGGAAGAGCACTACTCTTTTTTGTCTCACCAGTACCAGGTACTCTTGGGAACGCAATCCCATTGAAACCCAGTGTTCCTCCTCTCTGACATGAAATAGCTCCAGGCTGAAGACATGCTACATAGTTATTGATAATGAAGGAGAACTTGCCCACTGGATTAGCCCACTCATGATTTCCTGCAGCTCTACTTTCTTTGGTCTTGCTTTCTTGCAGTGCTGGCACATCCCTGTTCGTCCCAATAGGAGAATCTCTAAAATCTAGGCAATGTACCTGATTACCAAGCAAGAGGTTTGACTTGAGGTGACAGGTTATGCTTGGACACTGCTCTAGCATAGTGTCTCCTTTACACGAGGAGCTTTTATCTCCTCCACACCCTTTTTCTCAGACATAGCAACGACTTCCCCCCTCCTCAAAATAAAAAAAAAAAAATAAAAGGGATGAAGACCATGCTGCAAGTCACAGAAGTGTGGTCATAAGCTCCTCAAGAAAGTCGTAGTTGCCCTCATACCCTGTACTTGCTCTCAAGTCTAATTGTAAGAAGCGGAAACATTGCATACCAGTTCTGCCTACTGACAGGCAGGGTACTCTTCTTCCACTGGGTTAAAGAGCTTGTTTTCATGTGGACTGAAGCTCCTTCTCTGGGAAAGCTCAGCAGCACTGGCTTGTTCATAGGAGCAAATAATTTCAATGTGAAAGCTCTGTCTTCTTTTTCTCTTTTTCACAAGTATGCTGTACATCTGAACCTTCCACACTCACTTCCTCCAGTAACTGTGGAGTCCTGGTTTTGGTAAGGAAAGTAGGAGATCCTGTGTTCTCAGTTACACAGCTGCTAACTTGCAGGGACTGACAAACATCTTATTTCTTTCTAGACTGTGTGTAATTTTTTTCTGCAGAGGATAGAATTCAGCTCATATTCCAGCAGTTGGAGAGAGGCACCAAATTCATCCTGCACTGCAAGTGATTATTTTTAAAATACACTTTTGTGCTGTTTGTGGAGAGATGGATTCTCTCTTGTTTAGTGAGGCTTCTGGGCACTACAGTAATAAGAGTGGAGAGTTTGTTATTAAAGTCTAGTAACAGTCACCACTGAGCAGTTACTCTGCTCTAGGATTGTCTGTTTCTTCTTTCCACGGTAGTTCAGGTGGTTGAACTCCTCCATGACCTGCAGTATGGTCTTTCCTTTGGTCTCTGGCATCACCAGGAAGACAAAGATAGCCATGGACAGACAGTATGTCAAGAAAATGATGAAACAGAAACTACCAAGACCTTCCTACAGGAAAAGAAAGAGACAAAATGTGTTCATATAAATTGATCTAGATTTCTTTCTCTTATGATACGAAGTTTCTGGTTTTCTATTTATTAAAAAACTTGGTCAGGGACTCGATGTAAATCCTGCTTGCTGCCACCTGGGAAATGGCACAGAGTGGTAAGATGAATTAATTCTCCTTTCCTGTTTTAAGGAGGAAAGCTCTTATGCTCAGCAGAAATTGAATGTCATTGCTTGACAATCTAGAGAAGTGCTGAGCTTCAAGTAACTTGTGACAGTTGTTGGTGCCTCTGTCATTGCTTCAGTGTTTGTCAGTGTCACACTCTAACTGTGCATATAGCATTAGCAGCATTTATCTACAGTTTATCTAGCACTTTCTCTAGATATCTAGGTAAGAAGAAAGAAGCATCAGAACTGCAATTAGTTTGAGCTGTCCTGCATCTAAAGTGTTGAAAAAGACAAGCATGCTCAGGATTCAAGAAAGGTCGTATCTCCTCTGAACTGAAACAAAACACCCTACTTTACTTACCACAATGAAAGGGAACAAAAGTCCAAGGATGAAAAGTTGGATCCAGTTTATAGTACCATTGAAAACATAAGCAGCTGGTCTGTATGACTGAATGAATATTTCTGTGGGCAAGGAGCATAATACTCCAGCTGAAAAAAACCCCATGTTGGAGAAAAAAGGAAGTTTAGAAATTTTGGAAGATGCTTCTGCAACTCACACTTGATATATTGCCATGTAAGTTAATGTTTTTAACTGACCTGGAAGTGTTTGAGGTGCTGCTTGGCTCTTCAGGAGGAAGACATGTAGGAATGCAATGTGAAATGAAGTTTTACCTCCTACCACAGTTTGGAGGGGAACATCTACCCCTGCGCTGAACCAGGAGTAGGGATTCACACTAACTGTGGAACAGCTATACCTGGGACCTCTCCTAAAGGCTGAAGTGAGGAAGGAAGGAGTATATGAAACCATTCCAGTAGAAAATACCAAAATACCAACCTGGCCCAATGCCAAAGCTCATGATGAAAATAAAGATGAGTGCAACAGAGCAGTATGGTACCCAGGAAAAGGAATCCTATGGTAGGAAATGAAAAGTAAATAATATCAGAAATTAAAATTGTATTTATCCAGCTCCATTAGAAACATTCATCAATGCTAACTAGGTCTATGTTACACACACATCTGTTTCCTCTACTTCCAGAAACTTCACAAGGAGATAATCTTGACAGTGATCATGGTTGTATAACGCCATTGGCTCTAATCTGCATGTACATGGGTGGAAACAGCCCTGTTTGTTAGAATGATGGTTAGCCCCCAAAATAATTCTACTCTGACTAAAAAGTGAGTTGGGGGGAGGGAAATGGTGATGATATCTGCCATATAATAAAACGTCAAGACCTGACACAGCTCTATAATGCGTAAGTGGAATCTTACCTGTAGTGAAAGCGTGACTGTGAGGAGCCCTAAAGCTAAGGCCATAACAGTGTAGCTTTTCCACAGCAGTGTCTTCCTTCCTGCACGCTCAATTAGGAAACTCTGCAACCAGAAGAACATGCTGTCAGATCCATGGGACACAGGACAGACCTTAAGACAGGCACTGGTGAGCTGATCCAGTAGCTGCTTTCACCAGGTAGGCAGGGAATCTCTGAAGAGACTGCCATGTAGTACCTCCTCTGGGAGAGTGAGTGAAGGTGTCCGGGGGGACTGAGCAGGACCAGGAACTGCAGGGAGAGGGAGAACGTGGAGAGGTACAGGGCTGCACAGAGCATTGTCTGGGCAGAGGAAATCTGAGGTGGCACTCTGGTGGCAAAGGATAGCCAAGGAGCTCAGCAAAGTGGAAATGCTTACAGTGTTAATTGCCATGAATCCTATAGCCTCCCAACAAGTAGACACAATGTCCTACCAACAGGTAAACACAGGGACTGTCATCTGCCTTTCCTACAGGGGGGAACTGGGACTCCCAAGGTTGGCTGAGGCTGGGTCATGATTTTGAGAGAAAATCCTTTCCTCCCATAAATTGCGTATGCCCATGTTTGGAGGGTGTGTGGAGAGGATTTTGCGTGATCAGTGCAAATACTACAGTTGATTTGTTGCAGAACTTTTGATTTTTGAGTGTCCATTTACAGTAGTTCCAAAGATTGAAGTGAACCATGCATTACGACAGAATGAAATTCAGCTGAAGGGCCACTTACACACATCAGTGTGGTGAGGATCTCAGTGATCCCAACTCCGAGGGATACATAGCGGGTTTGAGCAGGGGGGATTCCAGCATTTATGAAGACACTGTATGCATAAGAATAAACCTGGGAAGAACAGAAAGGTGTGAAGGCTGTACTCATGTGCTCATGTTTACAGTAGCTTCTGTCTTTTTTGACAGAAAATAACTAATCAGATCTTAACAAAAGAGAAAATCTTCATTTCAGTAACTAATCCTCAATGTTTTCATGAGGCTTACTTGTGCAGAACAGCTTTTACAAGCACCTCTGTCTTGAACTCAGTAACAAATACAACTTTTTCTTCTCTTTTTGCTTATAGTGCTACCTTTGTCTTATGTTACAGGTTATAATTCTATCGGACATCTTTCACATGTTTTAGTGTTTTGTGCACTTTGGATGAGGAGCATAGAGAAATGTGGACAGTACATAACCAAATGGTTTAAATTCTCTTTCTACATAATCTTGAAGATTTTGATAGATGTAAGCACTCATAAAGCGTAATAAATTCTACTGTTAATATGCTCAGCTTCTACTGGTCCTCTGTGATATAGTTATTGCAGCACCAGTGAGAGTAGAAAGGGGTCTTTCTAATCTTGAAGTCTTTCTGAATTTGCAAAATTAATCTGGATTTTGTAACTTTTATGCTTTCACTATAAGCTCATTTTATACAATAAGTATTCTCATACTCAATACTATCTACTGAAACATAGAGATATTTCCAGAAAAAAAAAAGTTAGAATATATATCAGTAATTGTTACATATATTACTGGGATGTTGTAATTGTCTATAATAAAAAAAAAAAAAAAGTGCAAAGTTAAAGGATTTAGAAAGAAACCCAAAGATAGGAGTATGGAAATGCTCTGTCAGCCTGACTCAGTTTGTACCGAGATGGCTGAACAATTTTGGGCAGTGCCTTCTGGAATTCAGAGACCCAGAGAGGGTTATGCTGTTCCTTACTTGTTTGGCATTTGCGATTTTATTTTATCCCCTTCCATTCTTTTATCGTAACAGGGTAATTCATAGAGACGTCTTCACATGGCAGTTGCTAAAAGAAAGTTCTCAATTTATCCCAGGTCCCAGACTTCCATGGTAAAAGACTATAGTAAGCAGAAAAAGCAGGGAAAAGTAGCACACATACCACATTGGAGCCAATTAGCTGTGTGCATGAGGCAACAAGGAAAAGAGTGATGAACTGCCAGCGGACAGGTCTGTCACGAAAAAGATCACGCATGCTCTTAGCCTTCTCCTCACGGGTGGCTTCTTGCTCTGCCACCATGTCATCTATTTCAGCCATATGGTCACCATCTCCCCAGAGCCACTTCACAGCTGGAAGGAGAGGAAGAGAGATGACTCCTGGTCCAAGCTCACCAGCAGACGAATTCAGAGGGTTACTTCCTGCCTTGCAGAGTGTCTTAGTTGAGCTTCAGGCTCTTTGCTTGTGTGAGTTTTCTAGGGATCTGGGTTCAGATTAGACACATACCCAGTTAATTTCTGTCTATTTTTACCCATAAGTCTTAATCACAACCTCAGCTTTGGCCAGTAGCTGCTTACTGTGTTTCAATGTAAATCACTCCTCCCCTGAATACCCTCCTGCTAAAGGTGCAATTCTAAGGTATACACCAAAACACAGACAAGGAAAAGTGACTCCTACTTTAAAAAATAAGTCTACATCCAAGAGTTCTCTTTTTCAACACTTAAAAACCCCCAGTGGTTGTTCCTCTGTTTATGTCAGTAGTTGGTGTTAGGGTTATTGAAGAACTGGAATTCTTACAGATAAGGTATGACAGTAAAGAGCATCCCTTTCTTACACAGAGCCAGAAGGTACCATATCCACAACCTGACTGTTCAGGGCAGAATCTGTACTGATGGAAATGCAAGCTGTGTGTAATCACATCCCTCAGAGGATCCTGGCAGAGGGTAAGGGAAATACGAGTGCCAAGAGAGCACTAATACCAAACCAGAGGAGGCTGTCTCTCATTAAAGCGGAAGGTGGTTTCAGAGCCAAAAGACCAAGAGTGTTTTTCCTAGCTGTATTGTCTTCCAGTCTCATGTGGGGCTTTACTGTATTCTCCACTTTTTGTTGAAATGGATGCTTTGTGCTCCATTTCCTTACCTTTGAGGCACCCCTCCTTGTCCTTTTTGTCAATGAGCAGGTAGCGGGGCGAGTCTGGGAAGAAGGGGAGGGTGAGAAGGAGAACGAGGGCAGGAATTGCATTGACTGCCATGAGAATTGGCCAGAGAGCATCTACTCCAAGAACTTCTCTGAAACAGAACCAGCAGAATAAGAGGAGCTGAACAACCATGTGAGCACACACAGACACACTGTGGTCCCTCGGCTCTGCTGCGGGTGTCTTGGAAGCTCTCACCCAGCAGTCTCCAGCATTCCTCAGCCCATGAAACCCTCAATAGGAGGTGGAAGGGGAGAGCAGAGTGCTGCTGCCCGCAGCACACCAGTTACACAGTGTTGCCCCCTGTTGCACAGTGGTGAGTGCAGCACTGCTGATTGCACCCTCCTGCACAGCTGGAGCCCACAGGGGTGAACTGTGTTCTGGCACAGGCACTGAAGAAAGAACCTGCCATGACTTATCCGTCTGCTGCTGATCCCAAGAGCCTCAAATTGCAAGACAGGATCCATGGGTTACCAGCCTGGTACTGACTGCCCCATGTAGCAGCTGCTGAGTTTCCTGGTTTTTTGTGAATACTGTGGTCAGAAAGACATGTGCCAGGGGAACAGGACAGACCATTTTTGGCACAGGACAGGCAGAGGAGCCTGTGCAGGGGGGAATGAATCCACCACAGTTTTCTGGTTTCATGGGTGTGCTGGTTTGTGTGTATTTTCAATTAAGTTGGGATGGATCTGATATTCCCTGCTCCTTCTAAAAAAATTAAAAGTAAAGGTCAGTTCTCACAAAAGATGGATTTCTTTCAAAACCCATTTGAATCTGGTGAAGGTTTTATTATGAGTATTTTTATGTCTTTGCTAGGAAGCAACATCATTGTTCAGGATTAAATATTTGGTATGATTTCTGTTTCCAAATGATGTAAGTCAGAAATTCAGAATGAGCTAATTCAGTCTGGCTGCATAGGATACCCTGAAAACATGTCTGAAAATAGTTGCTGATTTGCCTAGCCATAGGCTTGCATTTATGTATGCATGTATTTTAATAAAAGAAGAAATGAAATAGGTCTCAGACCCCCTTACCTGAGGCCCAGAGCAAATCCTACAAATTTTCCAAAGGCGATGGCAGTAGAAGCGGTTACAGCAACCAGCCCGCGGAGATTCCTCGGGGCACTTTCCCCGGCGTACATGAGATGGATGTTCAGAGCTGAACCTGCAATTACAAGTGTTTGTCAGGGCAATTCAAACTCCCAAAGGTCTGGTGTTCTGGAGTGGACCATTAGGGGCAAAGCATATAGGGTGAGGCTCCAGGATAACTTTTCACCGCACTGCACATTCTGCATGATATGAAGCATGTTCCTGGTACCATGGCCTTGTGTCTTTCCTAAAACTTTCATCAAGCAAGTATGTTCCCCTGGGGAAATCTCTTCTCCAGCAGGTGGGCCTTCTCCTACAGTGTTTCCTACAGCCACATAGAGAGTGTTGCTGTTGCTCCCTTTAATCTTAAATTGTATATGTCAGTGCCTACTCAGGATAATATGTGCCTTAATTTGTGCTTCAAACCAGCAAGTTAACAAATGCTCTATATTCCATTTGCTCAGTTATCCTTTCTCAATTATTTTTGCTGGTAAGTATTATCTATATCCAACTGCTCAGGGATTGAAAATACGGACACAATGTAACCTTCTGAGGCATCTGGAAATAAGAATTGCCCAGCTTGAAAGCCATCCTCTTGTTTGTAATATGGAATTCAGTATCAGTCACAACAAGCAGCCACAGAAATAAGAGGTCAGCTTTCTATTGAGTGAGCATGCTCCCCTGAAATATTGCATGCTTTGGCTTTTTCACAGGTTGGCAGTACTTTCTGTCTGGAAATTGGATATAAAGATAAAAGAATGAGGAATGGAAATGTCATACATGATTAATTTAATGATGTTGGTGTTTTATTATTTAGTTAAAAATGCATTCAGAAAGCAGATCCTCTGCAGAGTTTAGTAAAAATCTGTGATGTGTATACTCAGACTGGTAAATCCTTGTGTCCCTCAGTCACTGCTCTCCCAACTATTTAATGCCATAGGTAGGAATGCTGATTTACCTCCACACGCTCCAGCAAATAATCTTCCAATGATAATCATCTCAAAGGATCCACACAGCTGGCTGAGTCCCATCAGAGCTGCACTCAGAAGGGAAGGGATATTGGCAAACAGCAGGGCCTTCTTCCTGGAGTTCATTTAAATTCATATGAGCATAAATAATGTCCCTGTGTCATTCACAGCTTTACAGAAGTTGTATAAATTGTACCAAGTCAAAGACTCTGTGCTGGCTTTTGAGATTAGCTGCAGTGAAGTAAATGGGAAATGGGAATGGGAAAACTTTGTTGTGGACTGATGCTAGTTTGATGCCTCTAGTGGAGCCAGTATCTACACTGAGGAACAAGCTTTGTGAGCGGTCATCTGTGAAATTCACTTTAAAATGCATTTACTCCTCAAGTGACTTCTCTAGACTGGATTTGCTTTGGAATTTATAAGGGAGAGGGTACAATTTTCTCTGTGGTCATTGGCAGATTTTGCCATTCTGTTTTTTCATCTGCAGCAGCTCTGGACTGCTTACAGTGCCACTTCACAAGTAGTGTTTCTCCCACGACAGTTGTGGCTCTAAACAGAAAGACTAACGTAATCATTATTCCTACCTTCCAAATCTAACAGACAAATATCCAGCAGACAAGGACCCCAGAAGCCCACCAATGCTGTAAATGGACACAACGAAGGACCACATCAAAGTAATCATCTCTTCACTGGGAGAAGAGCCGTATCTCCTCAGACAGGTCTCATGAATGAAACTTTTGATGTACTTTAATATAAGAACAGAAAACAATGGACTCAGTCAACATGTTTTTGCATGACTGCACCACTTTTTTACTTGTCTTACCTACTTACTTGTCTTTTTGATCCATTTCTATTGACATCTTGGTTGTAATCTTAGCCCCAGTGAAATCTAAGGCAATTCTGTCACTAACATCCCATGTGTTAATGTTTTAGCAACAAGGTGCAGTGAATAAATATATTAACTGTGAGTGCCACTAAGAGAGTGGCCTTGGCACCATTCAGGATGAAAAATACCTTCCCTAATTTTGCTTTTCCAGCTGCAGGTATTAGAGCTGACCTCAATTCTAGAGCTACAGTCCATCCCTGTCCCTTTTCACCTTACAGACCTAGTGTGTGTGGCCAAGCAAATGGTACAAAGGACTCCCTGAGCACTGGAAAGAGGAGAATGCCCTGTGAGCAGTCCAGTTCAGTAAGGGGAAAATGGCTGACTCTATCAATATCACTCATCCTTCTCTTTCTCAGTTCTGTCACACCAGACAGATGTTGAAAAACCATGAAACACAAGAGCAATAGCAGCTACTTTTAGAACCAAGAAACCACAGTTAGTTTTGAAAGCAGAAGTGAACAAGTTAGTGCTTGCATGTAGAGGCAGAAACACATAAGAACATTGTAATTCATGCTGGTAGCTCAATGCATGAGCTGTCCATGCTTACCTCAGCAGGAGAATTGATAATGGAGATCTGCAACCCATATTGGAAAGCTCCACCAATACCCAGGACAAAAGCCAGGAGGAAGAGATTGTAGCTCATTTTCTGGCAGGAAATAAAAGCAGCACACAAAGCTAGTACAGCTATTCAGACATGTCCCCACTGTCCTGCTCACCTCCACAACTTCAACAGCCTGAGCAATGCCACACACCTGTGTCTCCCGACACCAAGGAGCCAGCACAGTGTGCAATAGAAGACCAGAGTTACTAAAGCACAGGGCAGTGAGGAATTTGAGGAGAGGCAAAGCTTGTAGCTGCCTCCCAGTACCCAGTTACACACTTCAGTGCTTCTGTCTTCAGTTTTGGCTGCCTTAATCTGCACTATCACAGAGTAACTTCTAGTGGGAGATGGAGCAATGTGCATGATTTCCATCTACTTGTCCTTCCTCCTCCTCCTTTCCCAATTGTTATCTCGCCCAAATGAATATTTTGCTCAGTGACTTGGCTGAGACTAGATAAACATTTGGGGATTGAAGGGCATTCCTGGTTTTATAGTTTATTCATCCTTTCTTTGAACTATATCTGATAGGAGGCTTAAGAATACAACACAGTACTGTGATCATGCATCCCATCCCTCCCACTGATAACTCTTTCATCGTGGAGGACTTTTTCAGTCTTCCAGCCCTCCTCCATCTAGCAAATCATGGTTTGGGGTTTTTTTTGGTTGCTGTGCTCTGAACTCCCTTGGTTTGTTTGAACTCCCTGTTATGTATCAAACATTAAATAGAAATGTGATTTTAAATCCAGTTTTCTTTGCTTTTAAGAAAACAGTTCCTTGCAAGACATTTCATGTCTTTCAGATATGGCCTTGTGCTATTATTTGAACTATATCTGATTCAGATATATTTTTCTTTCTGTACTCTTTTTATGCAACAGGACTTTTAGAATAGCAGTAAGGAAAAAAATATATACTGCCCAAATTCTATTTCGGAAAGAAAAAGAAGACGATCATATACCAATTTACATACAAAGGTAGTCTTCTCTGCTTACAGCCTAGGTCTTAGGTCCTAACACTTTCTTTGGTTACTTTTGAAAGAGTCACTCTGTATATAGAGAAAGAGGAGCCTGAGATAATTTTTCAACATGTCATTTCATTCTTTCTTGGTGTTTACACTCCATTTAATTTGTCATGAATTTCTTGCTATTTGATTTGTCATTATTGAATTGGTTACTGATGAAACCGCAGATAGTTTTGGCATGCTGTGCATTCATGCCAGGTCACTAGGGAAGAGAAGCCCCAACAGCAACTAACAGACAAATAGAGCTGCAGCAGATGAGTAAAGGACCATAAAAAAGGCACTGATGGAAGCCAAAGTCCAGGGACTGGTGCAAACTAGAGTGGGCTGGCTTGGACTGACCAAGTCATGAGTTGGGTAATCAGTTATCTCATTTAAGGGAAAAGTTCCTGACTGCTACATTGAACCTCAATACAGCAAAGCCTTCTGAAGCCTGACGTAGGCAAGGCTGACTAAGCCTGTCCTTTCAACTCCTGAATTATGGGATCAGATAACACTTTAAGAGTAATTAATGGTCATTGCCTAAAGTTCAGTTCTCTGTCCCTATAATATATGGTAGGGGCTAGGAAAGTTGAATCTCAGTTTTAAATCCTGACTGTAAAATAAATAAACTACACCTTTACTTTTATCCATAATTCTCTAAAGGCCTTTTTATCTGGCAATCTCCAAGATAGTTCTGTTAAAAGGCTTTTTCAGGTTATTCAAACAGCTTATGGGGAAATTCCCTCTTCTGGTGAGAGGCTGCATTAGGTGGTTCCACAGGCTGGGGTGTCCAAAAGAACCCCGACCCCCACTGGGTTAGAAGTGAGAGGTGGCTTGTGCAGAGGAACATTGTCTATAGTAGCAGTAGTAACTATTTTTCTCAGATGCTGATGCTTTTTAATCAATACAACAGTGCACGGTTCTTTAATCTGTAAATGCTAATGTGAACCATGAGTCCCTGAGGATCACTTCTCAAGATACATTTTTGCCTAATACTTCGCATAGTAAGAAAATTGACCCGAACAAAGTGTCATCTTTTTTTAGCTGAAGGTGTTTTAATTCAGAAAAAGTTAACCAACTTGCTAAATGCTTCAATTAAAATGTAACCACTGGTTGTCTTTGCTTCATCAGTCCAAAGACACCTGATTTTGGGCCATAGTCAGAAAAAACGCTCGAAATTGGTATTAGTGTTTCCTGACACATGTACTTGCAGGACTGGCTCTGAAACTCAGGCAGTCAAGTGAATGTATATCATTTGTGAATGTTAGGTGTGTTTCATACCGCCACATGCAGCCCTGTCCTGCCAGGGCTCTGGGGAAAGGCACCATACTGACTCATGGGAGTAGGCACAAAGGTGCCCAAGGTGAGGACCTCTGGACACTGTAGGAATTCTCCCAGTTTTAACCAGTTCTTCTCTGCCCTTTAGGTCCCAGCAGCATTTCCCAGGCCTCCCCCTCTGCCCAGGCAGTCTTTCCGGTTCATCCCCTGCTTTCTAATCTGTGTCTTCTCTACTGCCTTGTCTTCTTTGCTTCACTGCTCTTTCCTGTCATTTCTCTGATCCTCACCAAAGGAATGACAGAATATTTCGATACCATCATGATGGTAGCAGCACTTTTTTGCTTTGACTGTGTGTTCTGCTCTTTCCATCTGCCCCTCACTGCTCCCTCCGAACCATAGAAATGAAAAGTATCTCTGCAGTTCCCAGGACTCCTGCTCTTTTTTGTCTTGTCTCAAAATCCTCTTATTTCAAAATCTCAGTGTTGTCCAAGAGCAGATACCTGCTCTTGCCCATGTCTGTATTTGAATTACTTCTAAAACAGCAGCAACCACAAATGAACAAAAGTTTAGTTTTACTTTACCTCTATTATAAACCTTAGGTGGTGAAAAATAGTTCTTGCACAGACTCCTTTTCTGAGAAATAGATGTGCTGCTCCACTCATGCCCAGCACGACAGTCATATACTCCAGAAGTGTTTACAGTCCTGTCATTCAAAAATGCTGTATTTTTAAAAAATGTAGTTTAAAAATATACTGAAAGAAACTTTAACTACTTATTTTGAAAACGTATGTGGGCTTCTTTGCTGCAGCCATCAGCAGTGCTGTGATAGTCATACAAACAAAGCCAAAAGAAAAGAGATGGCTTGATTAGGACTTTGAGAAGAAACAGAAAGAAACTTCACCAGTCAAATCAGCGCCTGTGAAAGGCAATATTAAATGGGGAGTAACAGTGTTACATCTGGGTCTTTTCCAATATGCTCTTTGGAGACAAGAACATCCTGCCGAGAATGTTGTGTTGTGATCTAAATCTCCACATCCAAAATAAGCTGCTGCCATAAGAGCTCCTCACCACAGCCTAAGCTGAGCAGAAAGCAGATGTCAAACCCTACAGGATGCACCAGCAGTGTCTGTGAGAGCAGTATAAACTGGACTAGAGAATTACTTGTGCTTTACAACACAGGACAGGAAGACAACAAATAAGCCACGAAGAAAACCAGTCCAGAATAAATAGTTGGCACAACAGTGACCGAAAGTCGGTTGTTTAATAAGCCACTTAACAAGTACTAGAAACTTTCTTCCTAATCCATCTGCCACATGTTTTTATAGCTGAAAATAATTAACTGCTTACTATTGCTCAACAAGTAGGGGTCTATTTGAAATCACTTAATAAAAGAAAAAATGAGAGCATCAAGACGAGGTACTGAGAATTTCATCTGGTGCCTGAAAACAGAACTTAATTGTATTAATTTCTGTGTTAGAGAGCTCACATGCAGGGGCAAGGAAAGAAAGGCTTCTGAGATGGAAGCTAATGTTTGGGAGGAGGAGAAATATGGAAGAAATTCAGAAGAAATTTGCTAAAGCATTGAATGGTGTTGTTTTAATGCTAGGAGAATACGGCATCATCCTGTCATTTTCTAAAATGAATTTCTAAAATATATATGTGCTACTTAGCACTAAAACCTGAAAACAGATTATTAAACTTTTGTTGTGATTTATCAGTTCAAGTATATCTTTTCAAGGTGAACCTAAGAACCTACTGTTCCTAACCCTACCTCTCTCTTTGTGTCCCTGCAAGAGAACACAGCCACTGCTGAATTTCCCCAAGTATCATCCTCCTTTCTTCTGCTACAGCACAGTGGATTTGATCTCTTGAGGGCCTTTGTAAAAAGCTTCATGGGTCTGAGCTTTGAAGTTCAGTTTCTTGAACTCCTCTGAGATTTCCAGGAAGGATTTTCCCTTTGTCTCAGCAAGGAAAAACCCAACAAGGAGTGCAGTGCAAACACAGACCACAGGGAATGGGATGTAGCAGAAATGTGCTAGACTTTTCTGAGGAGGAGGAAAAAACCAAGACAGATCTGGTGACATTCTGTACAGTGACAAATAGGTCTCTAATCCCTGTTTCTGCATGGGCTAACTTCGCTCAGGGAGTATTTCTGTGCACCCTGGTGATGGTCTCACATTCCTGGATGCAACAGTTCCCAAGCATAGTTTGGAAGATTTGACATAGCAAGAAGAGTATCTCAAAATGTCTTTTCCCATCTTTCTCTGTATATATAATTGTGTAGAATGGGAATCCACACTAGGAAATAAGACAGGATTGGATACTGTGGAATTCTGGTTCCTTTCATTTCAGGTATCACCTTAGGGAATGGTGCCAGGGTCCATTATCTTGCTGCATGTGTACAGCATGTGCTATTATAGGCCCTGTCTCTTTTCCTGGTTGCTATCAGAGCCTCTTGTACAGAACACTAAAGAGCTGCAGGTAATTTCTTTGCTTTGGAGAACCCACCATAATGAATGGAAAGGCTGTTCCAACCAGAAATAGGTTGAATCAGGGCAGAGAGCCACAGATCATGTAAGCAGCTGGCCAGAACATTTGATCAAACACCTCTATGGGCAGAACTCCTGTTAAACCAGCTGGAAAAAGAAATGGCAGGAAAGTTAATAATACTGTTGACATTATATTAAAAACAAGAGAACACATACTAACAAACAAACCCAACCTGAAGTATCTGTAAACATTAGATTATTATTCAGCAAATTATTCTCACTAGTCATCAATGCGAGAACAAGTGGTAATAGAGATTAACAACAGTAGGGAAGTTTTAGGTTAAATATTAAGGACTGGCTACTTATTCAAACTCTCTCATGTTAGAATGAACTGCTGGGAATCCACATTATTCTCACCAGCACCCAGCTGTGAGAATGGCTTATAATTAATTTAATCCTATGGTACTGTAGGGACTGGGATGAGAAATTATTGCCAACTCATGTGGCATGTGGCATGTGGCACTGGAAGCTTGGTTCTTTTCTTACTTGCCTTCCTTCAAACATACATAAGTGGACAGAGTCTCACATCTGCTCACACACTGCATGCACATAGCCTGTGTAGTGCCCCTCCAACCATAGAAGCTAATGGATTCTGCCAAGAAAATGCATGTTAGTAAGCTAACAAACAGATGCGGAAATAGTGCTTCCAGCTATCTGCAAGTAAATAATCAGCTGCCATAGCCGTCAATCTCTAAAGTGAAGCATTAGAAATGCTGGTCTCTAGTCCTAATGGATTGGGCAGCAAATCAAAACCTTGTTGTCCATTTAAGACAAGAATCACCTCCAAAAGCCATCACAAGATGGCTGTAAGGAGAAACAACTCAGAGAACAGCAGCCCCTGCATAACACTGATTTAACCAGAGGCACGCAAGCCCCCATGGAACAGCTGAAACCTGCTAGCAGAAATTGCCTCATTCCTTTGAGTGTGCTGTGGCTGAAGAGGGTCTGAGAGTCTCCGTAAGATGCTTGCACACATCTCCAAGCCCCTGCAGTACCCAGGAGTTTCAGTGAAAGCACTAACCTGGTCCAATTCCAAAGCTCAGGATATAGGCAAAAATGCAGGCCATGCTGAGATAAGGCATCCAGCTAATCTGAATCTACAGCCACAGAGACCAATGGAAAACCAGTGAGGGCATTTACACCTATTTGCCACCACTGAACACCCCAGTCACATAAAAGGCAAAGCCCAACTCTATTTCACGTAATTAAGTAAATTTTGCTACCTGCTGGCTCAGAGCAACCATGAAGATAGTGGCCCATCCTGCCATAAAGATATATTCCCCCAGGACCAGTGGCCTCTGACCAGCATAGTCTATAATCATGTTCTGCACAAAGCATCACAGTGAAATAAAGCAAGATTTTTAACTTGTCTGTGTATTTTCCACCTGCTCCCTCTTCCCATTTCAATACCCCGTGCCTAGTTCACTCTACAACTACTTTTAAGGATGTTGTCCTTAAAAAGGACATAGTTAAAAAGAAGATGAGTCAAAGGAAAGAGTCTGCTGACAGGAGTCAGGCAAGAAGGGTGTTCAGGGGAGATAAGAATGTCCCACCTGCAGCCTAAGCCCTGCCACTATCCATACTAACAAGAAGCAAGAGACTTATATTTTATTGAGATTTCAGACAGTGCTTAACTTGTTTGGACATGAGTGTTGAGAGACTGCCTGGCTGCTGGGCTTCCTCTGCACAAAACACTGTAAATCCTAGATTTGTCATTAGACTGCCAACAGAGCCTGCATGTCAGCAGAGTGCATTAAGAGTCTCACACAAATGACAGACGTGATCAGTTCACAGCTCCCTGTGCCGATTACAACATACGGGATTGTGTCCTGAGGAATTCCAGCCTCTTGGAACACATAAACTACATAAAAATACACCTAGGGAGAGAAAAGAGGAGAAAGCAGTAAGGGAAAATGTCTGAAAACACATCCTGGTATTTTCCCTGAAGGACCAGGCAGAGAATGGCTAATGTGCTGTCATATGGGCTATTTTGATAGTGTCCCTCCGAATGTTGTCATAATGTGCAGTTGTACTTTAGGAATCAAGCATCTGAGGTTTGAAGATCTCCACTATTTGTTTGCAGGAATGTTAAACCCAGGAGCTTTCACCATGTCTCACGACAGGCTGCTTACCAAGTAATTCCCACAGAGCTGCATGGCGCTGCTCAGCACAACGATACTCATCACCTGCCACCTCAAAGCTGGGTTTTGGCAGAGCTCCCAAGGGTTCTTTGCTCTCTGATCTTAACAACGGCCTGTTCAGCCAGCATCTCTTCCAGCTCTGCACTCAGGTCACTGTTGCCTCTGAGCTTCTGCAGTGCTGTAAGGACAAGAGAACCTCTTAACCTCTGAGTTTTAGCTTCAGTTTGCCTCCTCTGCAGTGTGAAGGATTCTGTAGCAAGTGATGGTTGCAGAAAGCTGTAGGACAGTGTCTATGATCATGGTGCTGCCAGTTGTGGTGCAGCCACTTGAAGGATTTGGGGGAAAGGGAGTGCAAATCCCTCACCATTGTTTGATGGGGGAGTGTTTCCAACCAGTGCCATTTCAGCAGCCATGCTTCTCACTTAGCTCTCAAGTGACTACCCTGGGCAGTGCAGAACTTGCAGTGTAAGGTGTTCTTGGTACACAGTCCATATTTCCCAGAAACTAATTTTAGCTGCTCTGTGTAAGGGGACTTGCATGCTATGAACTTAAGCAAGCCCCTTAATATGAGTTGGCTTCAGATTTGGTCATGAGCTCTTCAATGAGCATTTATTTCACTTCATAGTTAAAAAACATATTCACCATTGTGAACACAAGCCACACCTGTTGACCCTACCATTGAGACAAAAAGGTCTTTTGTAGGAAGATGCCTTTCAGTTACCTCAATAGATCAACATTATTTAACATTATAGAATGTTCTTTAGCTTGGAAGGAGGAAGTGATCATATTTGGAACTTCATATGACATTTCCTACATGTAAAAGTTGTGGCACCATTCTCATCAAATTGTGCACAAAAATAGGATGCAAAAAAGTGTACATTCATCTGCATTCAGAATTACTGTGTTTGTTCATACAAGTACATACCCAACCAGCACCTGGGCACTGTGTAAGGGTGCAGCAGATAGAGCAATTACAAACACTAATGGCACTACATACTTGGTAGAGATCACATATGGTCCTCTGGTTTAGAAAAACCCTATCCATTGACTAGTGACATAGCCATGGTATTGGGCTTAAAGCATTTATGTTCATTTAAGAAGGCTGTCAGAGCCACCAAACAGAATATTTGAGTTGGAAAGAAGTCTGTATTTTAGTCTGCTTTGGACTGACTGTGCTGGGCCATATGTTAATGGGTGCGATCACCATTTATCTCTCCAGTCAGTAGGTCTCACATGCTCAGTGACAGGCTAACAGTCACCCTAAACTCACCAGAGATGCAGGATTCTTTATCTCCACAGTCAATCAAGAGATATCTGGGACTTTCAGGGAACCAAGGCAGAGCTGTGAGTTGGATCAGGGCAGGCACCACATCACTAGCTAAAAAGAACAGCCGTCTCTCCTCCCCTCCTAGCAACTCCCTAGAGAAAAAAACATCCATCATTTGCACAGTACATTGCACAGCCTGGGAAGAGCCCAGCATCCTCTGCTGCATGTGGGCACTGGAAAGGAAAGAAAAGAGAGGGGTGGTAAAGAAAAAAGAAAGAAAAAGAAGAAGAAAGATCTGATAGGTATAGAGTGGGCTGCTTGTTCTACATTACCTGAGTCCAACAATCTGCCCCAGCACCAACCCCAGGGCTGTAAACGATGCAGAGGTCAAGGCCACAGCTCCTCTGAGCTTCTCTGGGACACTTTCTGCCAGATACATGTGCTGAATGTTCATGCTGCCACCTGTGCAAGGCAGACAAAAGCTGACCTAAGCTTCAGACTGAGGAGACGAGGACGAATGCAGTCAGCCACCTCCAGAGGGTGCCAACTGGACTCTTCTGTTGCAGGCCATGTAATGACTGATCTACCTGTGCTTATTATTTACCCAAACCTGCGACTTCAGTCTTATTCTTTGTATTTCTTTGTACATACAAATACTCACATGTGGATTATACAAAGCCCCTGCCTTTGTATTCTTTAAAACAAAAGTCTTTAGAAGCAAAATATAAAATCTGTATATAAAACTTCCTCATAGAACCATAGAATCACAGAATGGTTTGGATTGGAAATGATATTAAGATAACCCACTTCCAACGCCCTGCCATGGCCAGGGGCACCTCACACTAGACCGTGTCTCCCAAGGCTCTGTCCAACCTGGCCTTGAACACTGCTAGGGATGGAGCATTCACCACTCCTTTGGCCAAGCTGTTCCAGGGCCTCACTATCCTCACAGTAAAGAACTTCTTCCTTATATCTAACTCATTTATGTACATGTTTGTGGTCAGACTAGAGGATTAATTGCTTTATTGTCTTGGATCACTCCTATTTAAAAATCTTCTACTTCTAATTGATGCTCATGATCATGTTTCTCCTGTTATGTTTCGCATACCTATGTTGCCATACCTGCATTCACACCAGTAAAAAATCTGCTGAGCATAATCATTTCAAAGGATTTTGCCATTCAGCTGAATCCTGACAAGACTGCAGCTAGGATCACAAAGACATTGCTCAGCAGCAGAGACATCTTCCTTCAGAGAGAAAAGATACAATTGTGAGCACATGTGTGTGAGGTTTAGTTACCAGAGAAAACATTTCACATGGCAGATCCAACCTGCCACACCTGAAAGCTCAGAGTGGGCTGCTCAGCTCCACCACAGAACACCTTGGTTACCCAAAGCCTTGTATGCGGATGGCAGATCAGCAGTTTTGGTGTCTTGTTATGATAACAGGGATCAGCGCTGACAGGTAATCTGTATGGCTGATACAATTAGGGTCATCTCCAACCTCCAGCATCACCACAGGGTGTCCCTGCAGAGCTGGCCCTAGACATGCAGAAGGCACCCTGAGGTCCTCACCCAGATTCATGGCTCTTGCGCTCACACAGTTTCTCATGTGAAGGGAGAGGAATATTCCTTCAGTAAGTTGTGTGTATTTTGGTCTGAAAACGCTAATTTGTTGAAACAGGTGCTTTTCTTGTAACCACTTACAATTCTTATGAAAAGTTTTTGTACGATCCTTATGAAAAGTTTTCATGTGTTCCAGGAAGAATTTCTGTCCAAAACCAGGAAAAAAAGGATAGCTCTACTGACCCATACTAGCCAGTAATTCTCTCTAGTCTGAGCTCACTGCCTTACCTATTCTCCAGAAGCCAGGGTTTTTTTTTCTCTTATTAATGATTTTTCAGTCAAAAAGGTAGATACACAGCCTGTGAGACACAAGGATGTGGGATGCAACACCTTCTATTGCAAGCACTGTCTGTTTTTCCTGTGTCATTCCTACCAGTTCCCACAGTTCATAGTTTTGAAGAAAAACCCTTGGTCTGTTCTGCCATGATTTCCTATTTAGAAGGATGGCAGAAAACTGGGCACAAAAATGATGGCGATTATGCAGGTGGTTATTGTGATATGGTTGAGCTGAAACCCTTGTAGTACTTCGGCTGAGTTAGAATATGATGAGAAGGTAATGTGGGAACAGAAATGTTCCCCATTGGCTTTTGAGACATGAAATACCACCATATCAGGTAGTTTGTCCCTGACGGCTCAGAATGTTAATGGCAGACTGCTCTGTGATAGAAAATATATTCTCATGATTTTTAACTACGGTGGGTACTGTGCTGTAGGGCTCATCATTCCTCTTGGACTCATGGAAGCTGCAAAGCTTAAATTAAAAACCCAGCATCCTCTTACCTTCCTAACATGATGGCCATGGGACCAGCAGTAACAGCTCCAGTGAGTCCTCCCATGGGATACGCAGATACAGTGAAAGACCACAGCAGCAGCAGCACCACGTTGCTCTCCAGGGGAACACCTCTGCGCTCCAGCCAGGTTTTGTTCACGAACGTCTGGATGTACCGAGAGGGAAGGATAATGCTGCATAACCATGACAGAGATGAAGGACACTGAGATACGTAAAGTCTTCCTTATTGATATATGTTTATTTAGTGTTCATGCCTCCAAACCTGTGGTTGAAAATAGCCTCCAGTTCTTAGATGTGTTTTTAACAGAGGGTTAGGAGTGTGAAACTGTAGCTGCTGAAAAGTTGCACCTGGTTTGTAGCTGTATTTAGCTATCCTGGATAGCTTAAAAATGTATTTCATGGGTCCAAGGTTGAATTTAAGGGAAAAAGGCAATGTCAAGGGATGCAGGTTGAAAAATTTTAGAATTAGATTTGCTAAAGCAGTTGAAACAAGGCTTTTGAAGAAATTCTTGTAACACTTGGTCCTTTTTTAACAACAAAGTCCTGTACCTCAGATGTGAATTATAGAGAGGGAACATCCTTTCCCTCTCACCCTCAGTATTAGTATTAGTTTTCAGTGGCAGGCTGCTGTTCAGAGCCAGGCTGAGGACAGGAAGAAGTGTCTGTCTCAGGAAGAGGCTCTCAGAGTAGCAGTACTTACAGAAGCTGGAGCACTGATGATGGAGATGTTGTAACGATATTGGAAAGTGCCTCCAATCCCAGCAGCACATACTGTCAGGATCAGGATCTTGCTCTGAAGCTGAAAAAGATGGATGGAAGATGGATGGCTTCCTTGCATTGAATAAAATGGCTCAACAGATATTTGGTCCATTTACTGTTTGAGTGGTGTGAAGATTAGGAGAGACTATGAATGTGGTTGTAAAAGAGGAGGTGCCAAAGACAGAAAAACAAACAAACAAACGGATTTTTAAACTATTTACCTCTACTGCAGAGTAGTATTAATAATTCATTGTCATTCACAAAGAAGTTGGGACTGCTTTGGGGCAAAGGCCTGCAAGTGTCTTTGGTTTAATATTTAACATGTATGCTTACAAAAAGTCAGTGCAAAACCAGTAAATACTGGTAGAGGCTGGTGTTCAGTTAATCCAGTTCATTAAAAAACCCTGTACTCACATGATTATTCAGGAAGCATTGCCAAAGTTTAATGACTTCTACCTTATTTCTAGCTAATCTCTATTGGATAGAGCTTCTCTGAGGCATGGGGGATTTTCTCATAGCCATTTACATCCAGTGCATTTCTGATTAAGTCACATGTGCCTTTTCTTTGTGCCTTTTCATCGTAATGGTACATACTTTAGTTTAAAATAAAGTGCCTTTCCTAGGCTGCTTCACATGCTGTACATAGCAGACAACGTCTCCCTGCTTAACTCTCTCATTACACAGTTGTTCCTACATGTTCTTGTGTTTTGCAGTCTGTAATTGCATATTCAGCCAGAATATTTTCTACATCTACAGTATTATGATATAGGTGAAATATGTGGCTGACAGTGGGTCCTATGCCATGTTCTGGTCTCCTTGAGGACATTTTCTTCATCAGTATTGCCCATTGCTTGTATTGCCTTCTAACACTGCTGCTACACCTTTGGAAGCACAAGCAGGTGAATGGGGCTGCTTCATGCAGCATCCTGGGATCAGGGTGTTGGTATAAAAGTGAGGACTCCTGACTTGTTGAAGGGTGTAGAACAAAGTATCCTGGCTGTCACCATATGGTAACTGAGAGCTCCCTAGCCGGCTTGCAAGCAAAAAGCATGCAGCTTTTTTTCCCCTTGCAGTAGGATGCCCTTAATGATAACATTAGATAACAATAGAAATGGGTGTCCTGCATCAGAGCAACTGTGGAGAGTGAGGGACACTAGATAGAAACTGCCTAAAACAGTTTTGGTCACTGTCGTGGTTTAAGCCCAGCCGGCA